TTGTTGATTTTTACCATTGCCTCTAGATCCAGTAGTTTTAGAAATGTATTAATGCCCCTTCTCTACTGGATGGCAAATAACATATCATTATGTTTATCTTAAAATCCCTTAAAACTTATTTTAGCTTTAGATCTGTTTAGCATAAGCTCTCTCTTGAATTTTAATGATGATGAAAGCTGCATCCTGAGTCAAACTACTAATGTCTCAGTAATTACTGTGTAACAGCTCTATGTGTATGATATAGAGTTAATTTAGGTGGGACATGTTGTGCTTCAAGAGTTTAAGTGTTGTTTCACAACTGGTGGCAAAAAAAACTGTGAGTGTTTGAAATAGATTAGCTTTAAACCGCTGTTTGCCCATTTTATGTCATTATTACAATCTGTCCTAATAATTTATTATTAGCAGACCTCTACAGAGTTCTTGAAGATAACTTAGTCTGTAATCCAATGACGAAATAACAGAGCAGATATGAATAAGGATTGTCTTTGGTTAACAAGGACATTAAAAAGTATACTACTACTAGTAACCTTTAGATTTGAGTGGGCGTTATCTACTATTTTACAGAACACAGCATCGATTATTCTCCTCCATGCTGTTGTAATACTCAGCTTGGCCTCTTGAAGGAGCAGTCCTTTGTGATGAAGGCTGGTTAATATTACTGGCATTCTTCACTCTTTGTAGTAAAGTTGTGGTCAAGGAAAAAACTTACCTTGACCTGATGTTGACTGGTGAACATAACGTGATGGAGTTTGTAAGTGTTACTATGACAAAAAGCATGCGGGCACCACAAATGATCACAAAATTGTCTTTTTAATATATTAAACCCTTAACCCCTGAGCAAATAGCTACAATGATACTAAAACGTGTGTGTGCCCCATATCCTATCCTAGTCCATTTGCGCATTTTAAAGATATATGTTTTGCCAAATGGCATTTTCCGGAAAGGCAATATATAATGTCTAAACTGGCACTGCACTGCTTCAGAGTGATATTCTCTTACCTCATGTTGTTGATGTCTTGAGGTTTGATTGTTAGGAGACATGCTTTTCAAGAAATATGGGTCAATAGCTATGGGTATAGGTCTTAGGGATCAGCAATTGAGGCCAAAAGTTATAGAAATACAGGTCATTGTAATGGTTATTGTCCAATGAAACTGTCCCTGTAATCTTGCTTTTCATGACTCTCTTCATTAAGCACCTAGGCTCCACTTCCTCTACCTCTATTGTTGATGGAAGTTGAGATTCTCCATTTTACCATACACATATCTAATGTGCGAACATACGTCTGGATCAGTCTCATTTAAGGTCTGCTGAAACTATGCTATGAATATGCATACGGAACTTTCCTTTCTTAGCTCAGATAAGGGAAGTAATGTCCATTTGCCAAATATTTACCACAAAGTAAATGAAATGCCCAGGATAGTTTCATAGTACAATTAACATGATATGGCTCTTATGGTTCTTGACGTGCCCCTTTAGTAGTTAGAGGATGTGGATATAAGTTTTGGAATTTAGATAACACATCTGAAGTATCATAAACCTGCCTGCACGGAGCACTCAAGAAAATAGCGTTTGTCTAATAATAAATCTATATTACTTCTGAACAGTTTCGTTGAATTGGACAATAGTTAAAGAGACACATTTCCTTCTTCACCTGAGATAACCCTCTTGAGACAGTTCTCAAATAAGGTTTGATAATAGGACCTCCTTATGTCAGATAGGGAACTTTTACTTAATGCAAAGGTTCCTTAGAATGTGGAGCTTATTGATACAGAGAAGTCATGGAAACTTGCACCTGCTGGGCACAGCCCACATCTTTGTAACTGCTGGAAAATCTTTAGAATTTGTGGAAAAATGATTCAAGTTATTCAAGTCCAAATCCTTATAAAATTAGCAAAATGTGATGAGAATAACCATATTTTAACCAGACTCAGGCTATTTACGAAAGTTAACATTGTTGATAGGCTACAAATCTCAGACCCCTGGTTTAAAATGTATTATTCACGGGTGTAAATCCATACAAAGTATAGGATTCGTGCACCTATCAAATGCCAAGATTTCTCACAGATTCACTCTGTTCTGTTCTAGAAGAAGTCAAGTTTTCAAAATAAATTTGTCTTCTTTTTTAAGTGAACTCGACAGAAATCCACAATTATTTGACTGCTGGCATTGCAAGCAAATCAATAGTCTAGGTGGGGAAAAATAGTTTATAAAACTTAAAAAGAAAAAAATCAGATCTCCATCTTTTTCTATCTAGACTATGCGTTCTGGCTCGCAGGTTCTATATAGTTTCAGACCTGTTAAGGAGCACTTGCAGATATTATCTATGTATGAATGTTGTTTTTTCAGTTAGAACCAGCAAGGGCTGGAGAAATTAACACAAGGTAACGAACAGCTTGCCAGTCTGCAGCAAGCCTCCTTTACTAGAAGCGCTAAACATAATATGCTGCAAGCCGTTTAAGTATTTTTGACTGTCCCTGTCATCATCAGGTTTACGGATGGTTAATTTATTCTTTACAGCACAGTCATTGATGGCTGTTAAATCACAAATGAGAACCAATAAAGAGAGAATTGCAGCCGAAATTACACTGTTTATGCGACAGCCGAGTGCAGACTAAAAGATTCATATGCTGCCCGCAAAGTATGGTATAAATTTTAATTACTACGGTTTGTACAAATGACATGTTTGAAATGCTGTTGAGTAATGTGACCCCTGATAATGAAACTATAAAATAAATCATTACGTTTTTGAATTAGTTTCTTTTTATTATTATTCCTATGAATTTTAACCTGTTGGATCCACACAGTTTGAGATTTAGATGCAAGAGAAGACATACACTGCTGGTTGGTCTAAAATCTTGTCTGTTACGTCATATCTCCTCCCACCTGAGTGATTTCATGAAGAGGGTGAAGTGCAGGAAGTTATTCTGTTATGAAGTAAATGAGGTAACTTTAGCCAAGCTAAGTTATTTTGCCTTATCTCAATAAATTTTTGTTTCACCCTTTATGTAACCATTTCAGATACTAGTACACCCCTCTGCCATTTTTGTTGATATTAAATATCTCTTCACCACCATTTTACAGATCCTGACCATTTCAGACTGATTTGTAAGTTACAATGTATAGTTTGCCAATTATTATTGTGTTAAAGGACCACTCTAGGCACCCAGACCACTTCAGCTTAATGAAGTGGTCTGGGTGCCAGGTCCAGCTAGGGTTAACCCATTTTTTCATAAACATAGCGGTTTCAGAGAAACTGCTATGTTTATGAATGGGTTAAGCCTTCCCCTATTTCCTCTAGTGGCTGTCTCATTGACAGCCACTAGAGGCGCTTGCGTGCTTCTCACTGTGATTTTCACAGTGAGAGCACGCCAGCGTCCATAGGAAAGCATTGTAAATGCTTTCCTATGTGACTGGCTGAATGCGCGCGCAGCTCTTGCCGCGCGTGTGCATTCAGCCGACGGGGAGGAGAAGAGGAGGATCGGAGGAGGAGAGCTCTCCGCCCAGCGCTGGAAAAAGGTAAGTTTTAACCACTTTCCCCCTTCCAGAGCAGGGCGGGAAGGGGTCCCTGAGGGTGGGGGCACCATCAGGGCACTATAGTGCCAGGAAAACAAGTATGTTTTCCTGGCACTATAGTGGTCCTTTAATGTTTGCAGATGAGCATTAATAATGTCAAAGTGATCACAGTCTTACTAGGGGTGGGTTGGGGGAGCATGTGCCCTGGCAGTCGTACCAGCACTGCAACCCAAACCGAAGCAGCCGCAAAGACTTACTTCCTGTAACTGTGTGTGTGTGACTGTAACTATGTGTATTTGTAGGACCCACACACCAGGTAGATTTGTGTGTATAACTGTAACTGTGTGTGATTGTACCTATGAGTGTGTGACTGTAACTTTATGTGCCTAAAACTGTGTGCGTGGCTGTACCTATGAGTGTGTGAGACTGCAACTGTGTGTATGACCCAGGAGGCAGATCTGGTGACTGTGTGTGAGAGACTATAACTATGTGTGACTGCAACTGCGTGTGTGACTGTACCTATGAGTGTGTGTGACAGTTACAGGCACACACAGTCACACACACTCATGGGTACAGTCACACATGCAGTTGCAGTCACACGTAGTTATAGTCTCACACACACAGTCACCAAATCTGCCTCCTGGGTCATACACACAGTTGCAGTCTCACACACTCATAGGTACAGCCACACACACACAGTTATAGGCACATAAAGTTAGTCACAAACTCATAGGTACATTCACACACTGATCTACCGGGTGTGTGGGTCCTACAAATACACATAGTTACAGCCACACACACTCACAGGTACAGTCACACACACAGTCACCAAATCTGCCTCAGGGGTCCTACACACAGTTACAGGCGCACACAGTTACAGTGTGTGTGGCTAAGTGTGCGTCCTCGTAATAGTGACTGTGACTATGTTTGTGACTGTGTGCCTGCGACTATGTATGTGGTGTTTGACTGTGTGTCTGTGCCTGTAACTGTCTGTGATTGTGTGTGCCTATTATTATGTGTATGACTGTGTGCCATTCACTGTTTGTTTGGCCACTCTAAGGCCCAGTAATACATCTATCTAGAACGTGAACAAGCTCAAGTGATCACAATATTTCTGAAGATTTATAAACACATTAACATGAATTTGGCTCACTTAGTGAATACAACACCAACAAGAATTTGATAAACCAACCCCCTAAGGAACTCTCAACCCACAAACACCATTGTGAACTCTCTCCTTAAAACAACAACATGAGATGACAGGCTAGAAAAAAGGCTATTTGCGGCCATGTTTATTTAAACATGACATCAGCATCAGGGCAACAAAAATGTTCAAGCGGGGACAGACATAATAAATACATACATTATCTAAAGTAGCAGCAGTGAGGGACTAACTATACTGCTCAGCCTATGAGAGGATGTGGCTCTAATCTGATCCTGCAGTGGAGCACCAGTTGCATTCGCACAAGTAGAGTCGATAAGGACTGCAAGGGAGATCTTTAGCAATGCACTAGAGATGGGCATCTCAACCAAGCCACTGCCAAGAACAGTCAAGGTCTTCTAAGTACTTCTAGTACTTCAGCAGGAGTGGAGTTCGCAGCTAACAATGCCTTTTTGAACTCTTGTAGCTATAGTACCATTAGAAGCAAGGGCACAATCCGAAGGTAGATCTTCTTTGGGCTGGCAGGAAGTAATGATGGTATTACTGGAGCAAATGCAGACGACTCTAGAACAAGAGACAGAGGTTTTCTCACGGAGACCAAGCATGGGCAGGCATGACGACTTCTTATAGGACGTAGAAAGGTAGTAGCCAGTCGGAGAGCTGGAGGCCTTGGGGGACGAACAGGGCAAAGTGTGATAAAATGCCCTCTTTCTCCACAGTAGAAACATAGGCCATGGCTTCTCCTCCGGTCTCTTTCTTCACGCGTCACTTTGAATTGGAGGAGTCCTATTTCCATAGGTTCTTCAGGGTCAAGAGGAATTTTTTCTATGAACTGAATTATAAGAAGGCAACACTGGGGTGTCATGTAGGTACTGGGTCTCTCGGTTTCGATGAATCTGGGATCCTCTGGTACGTGAAGCAGGCTTTGGCACAGTGGTCTTACTAGAGGTCTTGCAGTGCGAGTCCATAGCAGTCGTGAAGGATTCCCAACTGTCACGGACAGGACTCTTCGCCTGTAACATCTGCTAAGCCCATTTTTTTATGCATCCAGACAAGTTGATAGCCGCTCGGACCAATCTGTGGCATATGTCCGAGGCTTTAAAGAAAACAGAACCGTGCAATCCACCTTTAAGGACTGGAAGGAAGTGCAGCTACCATTAAATCTCTAAGGCATGTTTACAAATGGCTCAGGATATGCAGGTTCAGGGGCTGGGCGTACTGTGCCTTTAAGGATCATGACTTCTTGCTGCAAATCCAAAACAGTCTGGACACTTGCTGGGTAAGCTGCTTGCACGTTTCTGCAGACTCCATGATGATCAAGTCTTTTGTCAGGGTCTTACCTGAGATGGGAGTCTTTAGTGGAAATGTGTATGCTCACCCTTGCAGATAGACACAGTCGAAGGTGACCAGATAAGAAGCCACCTGGACTGTGAATCTGTGCACAGGGGCTGTGCAGGAAAGGATTCCAATGTGGACAAGGACATAAACAGCAGGATAGTCAACGGATAGCCGAAGTTAAAGGATGCCAGAGGCAGTGGCGTACTAAGGGGGGGGCGGGGGGGGCGGTCCGCCCCGGGTGCCAGCCGGGTGGGGGGTGCCATGGCCAGCCCCCGCCCCCCCCCCATGCTGCAGCCGCCCGAGCGCTCTGTAGTGAGCCTCAGGCGGCTGCAGCTTTGCCCGGGCGGTGCGTCCATGAGGGCGGACCGCACCGCCCGGGCGCAGCCTGAGGAGAGGG